CCCCCCCCCCCAAATGTGTTGTCCTCATTTTTTTCGTTCCTCGTGTACCACCTAACAAAACGAGTGGAGAAAAACTAAGAGCAGACAGCAAAAACATAGCAGCAGCGCTTGTTCCCGAATGAAGAAAAAGAAAACTCAACAAACGAGCGGAGAAACATCTAAGCGCGGACAACAAAAAAGCAGCAGCGCTTGTCCCCGCGTAGGAAAAGAAATACAGGAAACAACAACATCAAAATCCCCTCCCACCCCAACCAAACCATTACGGTTTACCTCGTGAATTTTCATTCAATTCCCCCGTCGGTGCTGAACAAAAACAACAAAGAACCAACCTCCGTGAGACAACAGCAATATGCAGAAGGCGAGAAGGGAGCAAGGCAGGCAGGGGGTTTCGACCACCTTGGAACGGCTTACCGTTGGCGGGGTCGTAGTCTCCCGGAAAATCCCAGATCTGGAACTGTACGTAGTCGTTGTTGGCCACGTACTTGATGTCCAGGCTTTGAGTATTGCCCTGACACCAAGTTTGATCCGCGGTTGTAGGGGGGGAGGTGTGGTGATCAGGAGTGCGTGGCAACCCCTATGGAGGGTCCTGGGTTGTGCCCCGCGAGGGCAGACACCGCTGGTGCAACAATCAACCGGACAAAAACCGCGGGGCTTGTTCGAAACATGATGGTGGGGCTATCTTGGCATGTCGGTCCGCAAAGAACCTGCTTCGCCCAACTTACGGCCAATGCCCAGTGATCCTCGTGCATAACCCCGCGAGAGGGCGCATGTTCCTGTACCAACGACCAATAGTGAGGAGAGAGGCCGGTCGGGTAGCCCCCATGTGAAGAGGCGGCGTGTTCCGATGCAATTTGACAGGACACACATGTTGCGACAAGTACACGCTACAAGCGACTGCCGTGCTTGGTGCTGTTTGCGGGGAGCACGATCGTAGTTGGGGCCAACGTAGGAAGAGGGACGGAATCTCAACCGGTGCTCTGAAGCAAACTTTGCACCCGCGAGCAACGACGAGTAGAACGCTAGTCCTGCTCACACTGGACTATCGAACCACAAGCACTATCGATACTCACGAGGAACATGGTCTCGTGGGCAGACATCTTCTGGAACACCACTCGCTGGATCGAAGATTTGCCGGATCTGTCCATGAGCCAGAAAAAGCCACAACGGCAGACGAAGAAGAGGCAGGGTTGTACACACACGTCGAGAAAATAACGTAAAACGACCGAGGCGGGAAGGGGGATCACAAACCTGTGGTTCAAGCGGTAATCGAAGCCACATTTCTGCCTGCGATACTCCGCTGCAGGCAATGAATTACGAAAAGATTTCCGCGCAGTTGTGCACACGACTGCCGCAGCTACCGTCCCATGCGGCAGCCTTTTCCTTCAGGCGGCAAGAGCAAGCCATCGGCGGCCATGACACAAACAGCGATGGAGAACGAGGCAACCACCGCTCTTCGTGCTCCACATCACGATACCATGAGAATCACTCTGGCGCCTGTTACCACGAGAACAGCTGTCTCTACTCCGGCTCCTTCGACATAACAGGCGGGCTTGCCTTTCGTAAGCCACCTCGAGTCAGAGCGAGACATTCACGATCGATCCAGTCCGCAGGTTTACCTGACAATTCGATTCTCACTCCTTCCCCAATAAATTAAATTCTCCTTTCCCATCCAATCAAAATCATGTTGTACACGAAAGAGGGCCACATTTACGCACGGCCACGTAGAGTTCGATTGTTGTCTTGCGTACCGACCAACGGCGTGTCTCCCCCCTCTCTTCCAGAGAAAAGAAAGCTCGTCTTCCTGACCTGGCCCTACCCCCCGCCTCCTTTGGGTTTGATAGCCTTAAATCAGCGCTCACACACACAGCCGTAAAACTGACAGTTCTTCTCTCGACTGCTGCAAAAAAAAAACGAAATCGTTCACGTCCGGTGAGCTTACTTCATGCCTGATGTCGAACGGGACATCTCTTGTATGCATAGGCGCTCGAGCACGCACCTCTTGGGGCCCATGAGAAGGATCTTCGGCTTGGCGTCCGCCCCGTGCGTCTCCCCGGAAGGCGCCTCCTCTACCTCTTGCCTTTCCTCCGCTGATACATGGGTGCGGTGCACGTTAAGGCGTCACGGCCGATAGCTTCAGTCAGAATCGGACGCTGTTGGACGTTTCCATCCCTGTCTACCGGCCACGTATGGGAGGCACAACAGCAGTAGATACAGTCTACTGTTTTGTAGTAGTCAACCGTCAGCCAAGGATCTTGTACCATCTGTGGAAACAAACATTTCACCGCAAGGTTTGATTGACCAGTCAGAAAACTACGTGCCACTTTTTTCATTTCTCTCTCTGTACCGCACACAGCAGTGGCAACATGGTGCGGACATCGGAGTGAGTGGTGTTTGTCACTTGATCGGTCAAGCCTTCGGGACAAGTGACGCCAAGACGAAGGCGGTGCCGGCTGCCCCCAAGTTTGCGGGAGAGGCACTACAGGCCGAAAGTCTTTGCACGCTCTTCTGCTGCCCTCGATCATCAGGGTTTGCACCGCCGCGAGCAAAGACACGAACACGTGCCGCGCGCGAGGTGGAACCCTGGCGTATCTGGCCTGCCTGCGGTGTACACCAGATCGAAAACTTGAGCTTTGTTCAAGCGTTTGCCTTTGTCGAGTACCCCAAGGACCGGAGAGCCACATGCGCCCAGGTGATCCCCCATGCGAGGGTGTGAGGGGGGAGGTCGACCTAACGAGCCCCCATAGAGAGGGTAGAAGGGAAGATATGCATCAGTCAGGGACAACAGAGGTCCTCCAGATGGGACAATAAGGAGATGCCATCATCAAGTCCATGTTGTACGATCCAAGCCTCCAGCAGAGTCCGGTCAACACAGAAGGGGCGATGCCGGCATAAGTGCCGAACTAACAACAGATGTTGGCATCCAGGACTGGTCTCAGGAACGCTCCTCGAATTCTCAAGCAAAGGTTTCTCTCTACATCTCAACGCAGCACCAAAAGACGAAATCGAAATTGAGCTCTGTTTGGTCGGCATGCTCGCATACCTCCAGGCGCCGTCCTTGATATTTAGCCAATTCCTGCCTGGGGAAAGAAGTCCCCGAGGTATCTACATTTCAGATCAAAATCAAAGTCATCCAAGACAGCTGCGGAGCTGCGGGGAAAGCGCGGGTGGGTTGTTCCAACAATTGCCGCGGGGCCGCTGCAAAGCAGTGCACCATACGACCTGCTGTACGTTGCTCATAGAGAGGCTATCGACACCGTACCACCGAGAGCCATGGGTAGCCAGATCACTCTGCTCACTGGCAGGCCTAAAACCGGGCCGGCTCGTTAGGTTCTCGATGAGAAAATGCCGATCGTCACAAGTGGCAAAGAGACTGATGATAAAAGTAGAGAGCTGACGCGATTTCTTTGGCCTTTTCCGTGCGGGAGAGCGAACACGCAACTATTTTTCTCGACACTCACGATACCCCAAGGCATCAAGCCTCGTCCAAGAAAGATCAACAGCAGTAGACCTACCTCTCTCGGACTAGTAATGCCATTGCTGTTCCTTCCTCCCTCGAGAAGCTTTACCTGTACAACCAAACCCGTGGCAGTCTGCAACACTGCACTCCTACCAGCCGCTCTCGGCCGTTCGCATTTTTGTGTCAACGTTTACCAACCGACTCTTTTTGTAGGGCGCAGGCGGCACCTCACGGCGCCAAACCTTGGCGTTATCCAACAGCCCGTAGCTCCACCTTCTACAGGATACCATTGCTTGGTGCACCTCGTCCCTTGTTCAGCGAGATATCGGTGAACACGTGAACAGAAGAGCGCACAAGTATACTCTCGAGGAAAATATCGCTTGGCTGCTGGCTCTTGCCCTAGCGTCAGGTCTGTTACTGACTCCTTTTCCCGACCCCTCCTGTTATCCGCGGGCCCCCTTTTTTCGGTTGATTTTGATATTCGATACTGATTTTTGGCACTTCGATAGTACAGGGCCTCTAGATCCAGTCCCCAATCTGCGCAACAGCAAATATCAAATCCACACATCGGACATTTCGTCCCTACGGCAGTGAAACCTGTCTCTGTGTGGCTTCCGTGCTGCTGTATCAAAGCGTGCGGTCCGCCCGTGCATGTGAAGCGAAGCTCTTGGTTCGCAAACATTCATCCGTATATGCATGTGCGACAGCTTATGCATACGCCCGCCCTTTGCTCCTTTGCTCTCTCCTACTAATGTTGTACATTTTCGGTCCGACATGAGCAGCAAACAGCAGACTCTGCGTTGCCTTGCTGTCCGACGTGCTACAGCAGTACCTTGCATGTTCGGTCGACTTTGCAGCACAAAGCAGAAACTGCTGCTCCGGGGTCAGCCAGTCGGCATGTGTGTAGGCACAATTCTGACCCTCTGCGTGCAAGATTCATGAAGGCACTGCCGCTTTTCTCTCTCTTGTGGGAGTAAACTCGAAGAATCCGTATGGGTGCGATGGTATGTAGAAGAGCACACCCAACGGAGAGTCTGTCGCTTGTGGGTCCTTCTAACAAATCGTTGAGAGAACAAGGCAACGGCGACAGGAGCGACACAGAAGTGCTGCTGTGCTAGGGAGGCAGCCGCCTGCTGTCGGGAATAGTGCGCTCATTGCTGTCCTTCGACCACACTTAATACTCTCGCTAAGGATGGCGAGGCAACCAGATGCAAGGGTAGTAAGCCTGCCTTCCCTTGACCACGATGGGGTTAAACATCCAACATCTCGTAGGATTCTACGAAACACGCGCAGAGAGAGAGCGGTGCATTTTTCCTGTTCACTGGCGTCCAGGTCTTGTCACGGCAATCACCCGTGGGACAGAGAAGGCAAAGCTGCCCCAACGTAGTCGCTACGAAACTCACCGTACGCGGCCTGCCCCTGGTCTTCGTTCATCTTGATAGCTCTCTCCTCAGCAGCGATGTGTACCACTTTTGCTGTGGTGAGCGTGGTACTTGGCAACTTGGCAAACACACCAATACATTCATTGAGCCCCCTGACAACCCCCCCCAGTCGTGGAGTCAGTATAGTACGTTGTGGCGTTTTGGTTCGGGGATGGACCATCGCCACCTTGTGCTGCGCGGCTGCGCGGCGGCGACAGGGGATCGCGTTGCGAGTCAAGGCTGCAGTCGTTGCAGCCTATCAGTCTAGTCTGCGCCACACCAACCGTGCTGGTTGTGGACTTTCATGTACAGCGGCCAACAAGTCGTTACTGCTGTGTCTAGTTTACGAAATGCATGTGTGCTTTATACCATCTGGAACTAGACTATCTCTTGATGTTCAGGCGCCCTCGCACGCTCTCTGCCTAAACATATGCATATGCATGGATGGCCATAGATCTTGTCGCAATCTTGCGGTTCGATGTTGAGTGCAATATAAACGTTGCGCCCCTCTCGCCTGGCTACTGGGCGGGAACCCGCCCCTTTTGTACGGAGTGCGCGATAAATATGCAAAGTTGAACTATGT